AAAACAGTGATATATTGCAATCTTGCATTCAGTATCTTAAAATGAAGCTGTTAATTATATTCAAGGACTAATGTAAGTATTTTTCTATTAAGAATGAGAGAGTAAGACTCTAGATGGATTCTCAACACTTTTTGAGGAAATACAGTTTTTCTTATTAATGCCCCACACAGAAACACACAACTTGGCTCAGCTCACAAGTCTTTGCCGGCGATTGTTGGCGATCAGCCGCTGCAGAGATGGTGGTGGGGCAGTGATGATTAGCCCATATATGTTTATGTTATTTACGTAGAAAATCCATGCACCGTTGATAATGAATTGAAGGTTAAGTGACAATTTTTCTTTGCAACCGTTCTTGTCGTATACTCTGTGAACTGAAAACTGGATTAACCTTTAATTACCCCCAGCGATCTCTCAACCCCGAGACATTCCCACTCCTACCAGTAGCATTTGCATATACAATTTAATGAGAGAAACATCTGTTTGCATATTTGGTATCATTCCTCTTCGGCGGATGAATAGATATTAACAATGTGATAGGCATTTCTTCATTTCTAGCCTTTCTTCCTCCACCTACGGATTCAGCTGGACTTGTATTAATTAGAATGAAGGGCTGTCGAGAGCCAACAGCCTGGTGCCGAGTTCACACATGCAATGTGATCTGAATGCCTGCAAAGCCACAGGTCATTCAGCTGGGGAAACCGCTGCTGGGGCTTACAAAATGTATGCCATATAGGCCTGCGTGTGTGTGTGTGTGTTTTAAACAAAACTATGTTTCCCCCTCTTTAATCCAAATTAAAAACAACAACCCATTGTCTGTCTATTTTTGGAAACACGTGCTTTCACACACAGCTTTCCTCTCTGATGGCTATAGCAAATGTTTCCTACAAGGAGTTTGACAATTTTAGCAATGACAGAGCCCTTGGAGGCCAAGCCAATTAAACTTTATTTTTCTAGCCAGGCTAAGAGACTTGCCTGCAGTCACCTTAGTGGATAGTGGTGGAGCTGGGTCTGGGGGGAGGTCTGAGACTCTGGCCGCCAAACCTTGAGCTGAATCGAGCTGTCCCCTCTCTATGAGTCAAGTTTTAAGACACAGCAGTCAGTAAACCCATTTTACGCAGTTTTCTAGAAATTCTATGTGGTTACCAACTGAGACCATTTTAAAAGTATACCTATATACGTTGTGTATATAAAATGCATGCTATAAATACGTTATCAACAAGCATATTTTGTGTGTACATATTTCGATTCTTGCATATCCAAAGTTTCTATTTTTGTATTGGTTCAAAGACAATGAAAGAGTCCTTTAAGATTTTCAGAGCTTTAATTTCACGATACAGTTCTCAATACTTCGTTCAATATGAAAAAAAAAAATGCTGCATCTTTATACTTTTTAAAGTAAAAAAAAACCCCTCTCAGTTCTAACTTAAGTTCACCCCTTTCTGATCGTAAGCCTTGAGCCAGGCACCATCACCTCTGGTCCCTCTTGCTTCCCAGCATATGCCATGGAAATTATTTTATAGAGCTACTTCCCATGACTGTATTGTCTCATCAGAATGAAGAAAATTCTTGGCTTTCATTAGTGAATCCATCCTCATTAATTCAAACTAAATGGTGGTGGTGGAGAGGGGCAGCCAGATTAACTAGGGAATACTTTGAACCATAGAAATTTTTATGGGAACCTACTATTCTTACTTCCATGGATGTCCTGTAATTAAAGCTGGGCTATGGCTCTAAAGGTCTTTTGGATACGTGATTGAATCACTTGATCTGTGACTTCAAATTCATTATTCGCAGGCAAAGGTACATTGTGAAACTATTGGAAGCAATTTGTTCTCTAAGTATTTTCAACATTCTCTTTATACTCCGTCTCCTTATTTAGATGCCATTCATTTACACTATTTATGAAATAAAAAGCATTTCTTAAAGGGAAAAAAGGGAGAGCTAGTTCAGGGAGAATGTGCGTTATTATAATTTCCAAATAAATAAGGTTTTTGCCATGTTCTCCAAGTAGATATGGACATAATGTGACAGTTTGATTTCAAAAGACATTTTAAACGCCTGGTGTGAAAAGAGCGCTGATCAGGAATTAGGTTTCTATCTGACGTACAGTCGTCCCGTACAATCATTTTAGATGCTCCGTCTCCTAAATGTTGTCTGGCAAGTAAACATTTAAATATCAGGTGAAAATCTATGCCTTCCCATTGTGACTGTAAATACTGTGTGCGAATGAATGACACACCATCGATATTCAATAGCAACAAACGTGTAGGACGGATGAAGAATAGATGGGTGGGTGGGTAGGTGGACGGGTGGATGGGTGGTGACATCCATCAGCATGAGACATCCTGACTCTGTTGTCATTTCCAGACTCTTAAGGAGCGCACTATTTTCAGGGACCTACGTACAAACTCTAGGCCCAGAGCAAAGTTTTGCAGGGGGAGGTGTCACTATAATTCATGACTCATAGCAGCAGCTGCTCCATCTTGCAGGTATCTAATACAGGTACCAAGCACTCTAGGATTGCTTGGGTGGTAATTAAAGTTAAGATGTGTTCGTGTGTGTGTGTGTTGGGGGGAATGCATAACAAATCTATAGAAAACTGCGCTTACTAGACAAGTGGAAAGTACAAATTAGCTTCCATGGTGACCTGCGTATACTTTTATTTATGCTGCAACTATTCTTGTTAGTATTTTTTATTAGACCCGACCTAAGGGTCCTCTGATCATATTTTGGGCTGTGTTCTAGACTCTGGTATCTATAGTATGTGCTCTTGGGTGTGCTGATTTGCTCCACGACAGGAGGGACAAGACCGTTAGGAGGTGTAGGGCCAGGTTTCCCCTGCGGGATGTTAAGGGTGCCTCTGCTGATCCACTGACGGGAGCCCCTTTGGCTCCTGCTGTAATTGCCCTGCTCCTGTTCCTGACCTAGCTGGGTCGGAACCCTTGGCGAGTGATCGAGCTTCTGATGGCAATAGGAGGTGGAAGCTTGTATGCCTCACCACGGTGGGCAGGAAGGACCTTGGGCACCTTGGGTTTCCATGGGCCCATCAACTTTGGGGCATTTGATAGTGTCAATAATCCATTGAGCTGAGGAAAGAAAAACTAGAACTACATCAAAAAGATAAGAAATAAAATAAGCATTACTAGTACTTATTTAATAGATTGGAATCAGCACATGCACACAGTTTAATCATAAGTACACACATACTAGGGATCATCAAATCCGTTTTCAGGGATGGACACATGCGATCAAAAAGCTTGGAGAAGTCTGTGGTCTCTGGGGTGCATCTGTACCGTATTTTTCCGGGACAGCCGAGTAGGACCCTTTCCCGCCTCTCCAGTTTCGTCTCCCGCGCCTGCCCATCCATTCTCCTGTGGCTCTGGACAGTAAGGGGATCCCAGACAACTCTGGGTCTCTGAATATTTGTCTCAGCTTCGTGACTCTTTATTTTACTTTTGTAAACAGTTTCCTGCACTTGTTGGACAACATGGATCTCTCTTTCCATGGGCCCTACACCCTCTCCTCATGTCTCGGGGGCAGCTCCGCAGGTTTATCGCCCCTACCGTCTTCTGAGCAGCTTGAGGGCAGGGGTCAGTTCTCACTCGTTTGTGTGTCAGTGTTTGCAGCAGGAACGAATGAAGGAACAAAGTGAAAGTCGTCTTCGTGGACAGCTAACCTCCCTGCTGGGACCCCGAGAGTTGCTCAGGTCCCCAGGAGGGGTCGCTATTGGCGCTCCCTGAATGGGGAGAGCCTAGCTGCTGGGTCTTTCCTGGGCAGTGGGCCCTCTCCCAAGGTGTCAGTGAGTCTAACTTCAGTTACCTCCTTTCCCTACCCCTCCTCTCACCCACTCACTTGGGAACAGGGTAGAGACTGAGCCAGAAGGCACGCGAGGCCTCTAACTTTCTAACAGTTCTCACTGTGTGCCTGGAATGCCCTGGGAAGTGTAGACCCGGAGCCCCTGGCACGCGAGCCCGTTTTCGCCGGATGGACTCACAGATGCTGCTGGAGATGCTGTTGGGGCCGCCTCACTCCTGGGCCAGAGCTGCTCTGGCCCGAGCGGTGGAAAATGCAAGAGGCTGTCGGACATGTCGCCGACTGAGAAACAGCAAGCGACGCTCGGGCAGCTTTTCCGAAGCGTGAAGTCGCGGGCGGCCTGTGAGCTGCGGCCGGGCCGGGCCGGGGAAGCGCGTGGCCCCTGGACGGAGCC